CAAAAACGCGTCCCCCTTCTTGTCCCGTAGCAAAGCTGAGCAGGCGGGGGGGGTGCTTGCCCACAGGCCCCAAACAGTTGCAGAAGACCCTCATGGGAGAAGGAGGTCGCCCAGGTCCCCCCCAGTGGAAAAACGGGGGGGGGGATTGCAAAAGGCCAGCCTGCTGCAAGGAAAGGAAATGGCAGATTCCAGAGAGAGGGACGTGGAACAGACAGCTTGTACCGCAGCATCTCCTTGCAGAACCGGCTTCATTTCATGCTGCCTCCTTCCTTCCTCTTTCAGAATCCGTTTAAACCCAGGAAAGGAGCGTTTCCCTTCCACCGCCGGACATGAGCTCTTGCTTCTGGATGAAACACCGTGCCTGTTTTGCCTTTTGGAGTTGCGGAGGCTTGGCTGGAAATTTGATAAGCAAGAGTTTCAGGACAGGCTCAATGCTGTGGGAACTCTGGGTGTGCTCAGAGGCACTCTTGCCATCCACTTCGCTGAGCCCCCAACTTTGGGCAAAGGTCCTCCCGGGGAGCATTTCTTTCCCCATTTGAAGTGAAACACAATTCAGGCCGCAATTCTGGGCCCGTTGACCTGAAACGGCATCTTCTTCTCATGCTGGAGATGCCCTTTCCATAGCTTGTTGGCCCCAATCTTGTGGAGGCCTTTTCTGAGATTAAAAACAAGCAAAATAAAATTCAGCTTGAGGATCAGTCCAGCTTGAGCTGCAGAACAAAACAGTCTTTTCGGGGCTAAGATGAATGCCTCATGTCCTGAAGTGACTTGATATCCCGACAGGAATTTTGAGCGATTAGGGTTGCTTAGAATTCGCCGAAAAGCTTCTGAACTGAATTGGCTGGTTGGTTGGTTGGTTTTTTCAGCACAGTCCAAAAAAATAACCACATCCTGGTATAGAAGCTGGAGAAGGAAAAGTATATAGAAATGATATGTCAGGACCGGGAAAAAAAAATACACGGAGTTCATCTATTGACACCCTCTTCCTCCTCTTTATTTGGAACCCACTGAGAGCTTCAACACCCCCCCATCTTCCTTGCTGCCCTTACACAGATTCCCCCCCCCCCA